CTTGTGCCCAATAATGCATAATTTCATTTGATAAACACGTTTAGATTGAATGGTAATTTATAATCAGTCACAAGAACGTCGAATCTGAATCACTTGAAAAAACACGGGGGTGCTTAACTTTTTTCCAGGTGTATAAATTATTAAAGGCTCTTATGCTATAGTTAGAAAGCCTAATAAATTATGATAGTTATAAGACAATGTATGCTTTTTATGTGAGTTATTATTATGAGTTTTTAGGGACATTATTTAATTAAATAAAAATTACTTAGTGTACTTGTACCAAGAGTATCAAAAAAAAGTAGGCTTAAATTTTATCAGCAACCATCAGCAAGAAAAAAAAAATGTTACAGGTGATATATTACTTGTTTTTCAGCTATATTCTGTATTTATTATTATAAAAGTAACCAAAATATAAAAATTAAAAACTTGTTAGGTTTGAATAGGTAAGATAATGAAAAATAATAATAATAGAAATTCTTCACGAGGTATGCTTGCGAGTAGCTCATGTGTTATGTCCTTCAATACGGTAATGTGAGCTATGCATTTTCTGAGTGATTCACAACTTGTGTAGCAGAATTATTAGTTAGACACAGGTAAAAGTGCAATAAAACAATAATATTGAGTATAAACAGATGTATAATGTTATGAGCTATAAGCTATTTAGGATAAACAATTGCAATCATTCTAGAATGAAAAAAGGGTAATCTTAATATGAATCACTTTGCACTCAAAGCAGACAACACTCTGATTCCATTTATTCATGGACAAATATTTAGTAAAAATATTTAAGTAAAAAAATATATTTTGTGTACAAAAACTTGTAATGTTTATTGAAAGTATTACTAATGATATAATTATTCTGACTATTATTCTTGTCTTTATTATGTGTATTATTATTTTCACAATGTTTCAACCAGTGAATTCTCTGCCTGTTGTTAGGTGTTATATCAGACATTTTGTATGCATCACAACCAGAATTCAAACCCTTGAACCTGTGATCCCAAATATGGGCACTCTAACCACTGATAGCTTTATAAGTTGTTTTGGTTTTATCTAGCCAGCTCATGTGGGAATACTTAATGCTTCTTTGGGCTTTTCTTTAGCCATTTAAGAATAATAATTTAGTTGAATGTAATCGATTAATAAAGCCAACAATTAATTGATTAGCAGCTCTAGTTTTAATATTTCATTACTTATCTGAAACTTGAAACTGGTAGAGTTTGGGAAACTTGAAGTGTACATTTTTATCATAGTGGTACAAAATTTCAAATGCACATGTTGTTAATATCACACTTTTCAAGTCTAAAACAAAGGTTTTATAACTCGGAGCCATTATGAACCCAAGTATTGTATTTCACTCTTGGACAAATTGTGAGGTCTGTTTCGAGTGCATGAAAGTTAAGCGAGAATATTGATGAGTTATATTATTTTTAAGCAGAGTGAGATAATTACTATTTATCTTGATTTTAATACTAAAGATAATTTTTATTGCATCATTTCTTCCAACAAAAAGGCTTAGTACATGATGCTATTAGGCCTACTATTAGTATATGTATAAAAACTGGCTTTCATGTCAACAGTCATGTGTGACAATGTAGTAAATAGCAACATTATATAGTTGTTTTTATCTTAGTACTAGTGTAAGTACCCGGCTTCACTCATGTTATTAGGTTGATAGTGTGTGTATTCTGAACCCATTTTAGCATAAAAGTATGACCTATATACTTTTGTTGCTAAGCAACATGACATAAAAGCCACTGTTGGAACACATTGTTACCCAAATGCACTGGCTTTTCTATATATTAGAAGTTGATATATAAGGAACTACTTCTTTCCTATGTGGTTTTTTGCTAGTTTGCCTCATTAAAAATAATTTACCGACATTTGATTGCCTCAACTTCACTTTTCTGCCTCTTTTTTGGGTCAAGCTTGATTTCACAAAGTTTATTTATTTATTTCAGTTAGTTATCAAATGTGAGGTTAGGGTATACTATGGGTTGGGGTTGAGGCAGTAGTACTTGCCCTGTCGTTTTTGACGGGCTATAGGCTAGTCCCAAAATAGTTAAAACTACACTAAGATATCCCATAATAGTTAAAACTACACTATAACATCCTATAATAGTTACAAACTACTGTATAACAACCCATAATAGGTAAAACACACTATAACATCCCATAATAGTTTTGTTGCTGAGCTACGACATATATTGTTGATCATTACCAAAAAAAGGAGCATGAAAGCTTTCACAACAGTATAACATCCCATTTTTTGCCTCTTTGTTGGTCAAGCTTGATTTTGCAAAATTTATTTATTTTTATTTGGCTAAGAAATGTGAGGTTAGGATGTACTATGGGGTGAGGTGGTAGTATTTGCCACGTCATTTTTGACAGGCTATATGCTGATAATAATTTAAAACCACCATAACATCCAATAGTTGTTCAAAAATCACTCTATAACATTCCATAATCGTTAAACAACAACTATAATAGCCCATAATAGTTTAAAAACACACTATATATAACACCATAACATCCAATAGTAGTTCAAAAACCACTCTATAACATTCCATAATAGTTAAACAACAACTCTATAATAGCCCATAATAGTTTAAAAAACACTATATATAACACCATAACATCCAATAGTAGTTCAAAAACCACTCTATATCATTCCATAATAGTTAAACAACAACTCTATAATAGCCCATAATAGTTAAACAACAACACTATAATAGCCCATAATAGTTAAACACTATAACATCCTATAATAGTTAAAACCAATCTATAGTATCCCATAATAGTTAAAATTACTCTATAACATCCCATAATAGTTAAAAACTACTCGATAACATCCCGTAATAGTTAAAACACTAACATTTCATGGAGGACACATTTCTTTTCTATGTAGTGTTTCGCAAAAAAAATTTGCATGTACGAACGTAGACAAGTAATAATACCCAGGTGTATACCCTCAAGGTCCACTTAGTATGTGTGCAAAATTTAAGGTTTCTTGGTTCTTTCCTTTTGCATTTATGGCAGTTACACACAGACACACCCTTTTATTATTATAGATAAATCATAAATTGATAAAGAAAATCAATTGTTTTGTTTTAAAAGGTCCTATAATTATCGTGCCATGTGCCAGAGGTGGCATTGTACCAGCTATTGTGTTGCAAAGGGTTAAACTAATTAATATTTAGTTTTAGACTAATTTTTAATAAGTATTATTGAAAATTTGAGTACTTTTGTAGCAAACCAATAGTATGAAGTCACATAGAAATTAAACATATGTAGATGGGTCTTTCGGTGTTATCCGATAGTTTACATGTAACTACACCTTTTTTGGCATTGAAAACACTTTTCAAAGGAAATTTTTCATATTTTGATTGCTCTCCTGAAAAACTTCTTTTATAAACATAAATAATTTCTTTGTTATATTTAACATCGGGCTATATCATAAAAAAGTACAGATTTATTTGCTTTCTGAAGAATTTGCCAATAACAAAAGATAGGCACAAGCTTGAAATGTATGTTTTTCATTTAATTTAGGGAGTTTCTTAAGCAGTGTTTTGTAAGTCAGTGTAGGAGAAATTGACCTTTTACAGTATTATGCCTATCAAAATTTTTTAATGAGGCAAAATTACTTAGTATTTTTTATGTTCAGTTATTATCCTGCCATCTGGTCAGTTTTTTTTAATAAACATATAACATTATTATTTTTATACTTGTAAATGTGAGAGTAAATAATAAAATTGTCTTAAACTTTTTGAAATATTTTACAGATACTGAACGTTTTAAAGTCATTACAGGTACAAAATAGACATGGCTGACACCCAAAATATCTATTTAAGCTATTTTATCGCTGAAATGCATAGAGTATGAATAACATTGAAAACCTGACATTTAAATAGGTAATAAAGGCTTAAAGATGGAATGTTTTATGTATATATATATATATTTATTTATTTACTGAAATGAAATTTTTTTATTATAAAATGATAAAACTTTTGTTTTGTTGTGTACAGTAAGGTAAACTTTAATTAATAGTAACTGTTATCTTTTGCAGGCAAACATGTTAAATGTGGTTTTGTAAAACGTTTCATTTTTCATTTCTAAAATAGCTTCAAATGAATGAGGGGAAGAATGGAATACAGAGAAATTTCCATCGCAGTTGGAGCCCCGGGCACATTCCACAATTCAAAAATGTTCTTTCTGTTGAAACAAACTGGTCCAGCTCATCAGACACTGACTCTGACTGATCTTTTTGTTTTCTATTTTGCTTGTTGTTTGGTATAATAACTTCTTACATGTACTTTTGTTTCCATCTTTTCAAGGTGTATTATACTAGGGAAACAAAAGTTTTTCATTGTGATACTTCAGTCAGAAGTTCAACAAAATTCCTGTTGTAAGGCTTAGCAAATAGAATAATGCTTACTTTTATTTCACTGATGTAACCCTTAAACTGTTACTTGTATTTTTAAATTCTTTTTAAGGTTGTTTCGTGTACATGAAAAGTTTAAAAAATCTTAATATGAAAACTGTAAAATAAAAGGTTTTTGAGACATACCATTTGTCAAGAGTTAAAACAGTGACAAATATGCAGTTGCTGTTTTATGTACACATATGGTGATACATAACGGAAAATTACTTCATTAGTGTGAGGCTATACATACATAAGACAGTTTTATCAATCAATTAGCAAAGTAAACATTTCACAGTTATTTACAATCTGGAAGTGTTTGTTAATTACAAAATTTTTTTTCTATGGTAAGAAACAAAAAAAATTTTATGTCTGACATTCCATAGAAAGATTTTATTTCACAAAACATAATATTTCTCACCTACATGAGACAGTTATTTTTTGGTTGTCTTTCTGTAGTCTGGAAAATAAATTAATAAATTTCTATCATGGTAAGTAAGTATTGTGAGTTGACAATCACATCTTTCTTGCAGCTCTGAGTGAAACATCATTTAATTTGAAAAATATAATGATTAAGAGTGTAGAAATGAATTAATTAAACAAAACAATACATATAACAATTTAAGTTACTAACAAGCAACCAAATAGATCATCAATCAGTTCACAAATTTGCTAAAAAATCATTAAAACAGTAAAGAATGCAATAGATAATAAGCTAAACTTAGCATTCACGTAAGAATCCAAGCAGATACACAAAAATCTAACGTTTAAATAAAATTGAAGATAGAATACAAAAGAGAAACTATCCCCACCTCAAAAAAGGCAGACAGGAGAGGAAAATTCAGGTTGAAACAAGACAAAAGCACAGGCAATATAGACTAGGTAAAAAACCAATCTGGTTCTTTATCATTCATATGAGTGCAAAAATTGGTAAAATCCCAGTTTGAAACATAGCAAGTTGCATACAATTGGTTAAAGGTAAACTTATTATTTACAGTCTTAAACATTCATGAAAAAAAAATCCACACAAGCATCATTGCACAGTCTTGTAAAGTGTGGCCCCAGTGGCACAGCGGTATGTCTAGAATCTGGGTTTCGATATCCGTGGTGGGCAGAGCACAGATAGCCCATTGTGTAGCTTTGTGCTTAATTACAAACAATCTAAAGTGGGCTTACATAAAACTGAACGCAAACATAAAATTACGGTTTTAAAGCAGTCCTGGTTTATAGTCAAAGCTTCAGTAAGTTTTGGTTAGGAATACCTGTGTGTTTACCTAGATTTTCAAAATAATAATAAAGTAGTTGAATATAATTAAACCTGACATTTTCCTGAAGTAAAGCAATATTGAAAACTCATTTTCAGAACGTAGCAGCCCGTTCATTTTTTCGTCCATAATTTAAGTCTGTATATGTTTCTTTTGGTTTTAA